TCACTTATTTGTGAAGTAATTCATTGGAAATCAAATGAATGGGAATTCAATGGTTTCTCACGTTTGAAATTAAATACCATTGAATGCATGAAAACTTGTGATTTGCATTGAAAACAATATTTATTATCCAAAACATTTGTAATTTATTGGCGAGAAATATGTTTTTGAAAAAGATTTTCCATAAATATAATTAAAAATGTTTTTAAATAATTTATAAAATAATGTAAAATTCAAAGAAATGCGAGAATATTGCAGTGAATTCTGTGTTGAAATTCTTGAGATTCACTTTGATATGGACTCTGAATGCTATGAATGCATTGGTTGTCGTCATTAGGAGACGGCCCCTAAAACTCAGTCAACACTTACTGGACATCCGTTTCCTTTGACAACAAATTTCTCAATCAATCCATCATTTGGTTGTCTTTAGGAGCACTGATTGTCATCAATGGTAAGTGACATTGAGATATATGACAGATGAGTGAACTGGTTGTCGACACCCGCAGAAGCCATACGCTCTTCACGGCCACGAGAGGGCCATCACTCAGATTAAGTACAACCGCGAGGGAGACCTCCTGTTCTCGTCGGCCAAAGACAGCACTCCCAACGTGTGGTACACTATCAATGGCGAGCGATTGGGTACCTTCGATGGTCACAACGGTGTCGTCTGGGATATCGACCCCAATTGGGACACCACTCGTGTGGTGACGGGTGGCGGAGACTCCACTCTTCGCATTTGGGACACAGAGACCGGCAAAGCGTTGCACACCATCTCCACCAACACCAGTGTCCGCACCTGTAGTTTCTCTTATTGTGGAACACCACTCGTGTGGTGACCGGTGGCGGAGACTCCACTCTTCGCATTTGGGACACAGAGACCGGCAAAGCGTTGCACACCATCTCCACCAACACCAGTGTCCGCACCTGTAGTTTCTCTTATTGTGGAAAATTGATTCTCTATACCACGGATCAGGCCATGAAAATGATGCCGGAGTTGCATATCATCGACACCACGAATCCCGACCACATGAAAGGGTTGTCGACTGTGATGTCCATCAAAGAGTTGGGAATGACTAAAGTGACGTCCAGTCTGTGGGGACCGGTCGACGACTCGGTGATCACTGGCCACGAAAGCGGACATATTGTCAATTGGGATATCAAACAGAAGAAGAAAGTGAAGGATGTGTTCGTTCATAAGTCACAGATCAATGATCTTCAGTACAGTAAAGACCAGACATTCTTCATATCCGCGTCCAAAGACACGACAGCCAAGGTTTGTGCCACTTGTAGACAATCGACTCAATATCCTATTGACTAAAACTGTAATTTAATGGTTGGATCAGTTGTTCGATACGCACACTCTGGAGCACCTGAAGACATATAAGACAGAGCGTCCGGTCAACTCAGCGGCCATTTCCCCAATTAGAGACCACGTGGTGTTAGGAGGAGGTCAGGAGGCCATGGAGGTGACGACCACTGCCGCGCGCTCCGGTAAATTCGAGGCCAGATTTTTCCACTTGATTTTCGAGGAGGAGTTCGGGCGAGTGA